GGTAAAGTGTGTGTGACTCTATTCATCTTTGCCTGGGCAGTTCCTCTCTCCAGTAAATTGAATATCACAGGAAAAAGTGATCTCTTGAGGTTCTTGCATATTTTTTCATCATGTTTAGTGTGCAATACTGTAAATTTTGAATAACATTGTGGGACCCATACAAAATGCGACCAGTAACGTTGCAAGTACTCCCAAGAAGCTGAAAAACGTCATGACATTTAAAAAGTTGAATTGCTTGATACGTACTGTAGACAGAGGTCTGTAGCTGTAGCTGTGGTTGTCCGCCATTTCAAGATAAAATGAATCCAGTGGAAGGACCATTGTGAAAAAATGAAAAGCCGCCTGGCATGGTGGCTCACGCTTGTAATCCCTGCACTTTGGGAGACCGAGGCAGGTGGATCACCTGAGGTTGGGAGTTTGAGACCAGCCTGACCAACGTGGAGAAACCACACCTCTACTTAAAAAAAAAAAAAAAAAACAAAATTAGCTAGGCGTGGTGGCACATGCCTGCAATCCCAGCTACTCAGGAGGCTGAGCCAGGAGAATCGCTTGAACCTGACAGGCAGAGGTTGTGGTGAGATCACGTCATTGCTCTCTACCCTGTGCAACAAGAGTGAAACTTCATCTCAAAAAAAAAAGAAAGAAAAAGAAAATGAAGAAAGAAAGAAAGAAAGAACGAAAGAAAGAAAGAAAGAAAGAAAGAAAGAAAGAAAGAAAGAACCATCATTGTAACCACAACAGCAAGTGTGAAAACCCTGCACTTTTTCTGAAAGACCTTTTTATCATGTAATGAAAATGCAGCACTGATAAGGGTGCATGACTTCTGAAAGAAAGGCATACCTATAGATTTTTACATGATTTTAGAAAAAGCAAAGTCATTGTAAGAACACTTAAAGCAAAAACAAGGTAAAGGATATAAAGCTGTAGAATTTTTTCCATAGGTTACTGGGGTGGGTGGTGTCCGGTTACATGAGTAAGTTCTTGGTGATTTGCGTGATTTTGGTGCATCCATCACCTGAGTAGTAAAGCTGTAAAATTTAATGCCAGCAAAAGATAGTTTGATAATTTTAGAAAGAGGTTTGGCATAAAAAAAAGTCAGACACAACAGGAGAAGCAGCTTCTGCCAATCAAGAGGCAGCAATGAGTTTCTAGATGTCATAAAGAAAATCACTGAAAAGAAAGGATATCTACCTAAATAGGTTTTTAATGTAGAAGAAAGTGCCCTATTCTGAAAAAAACTGCCACAAAGGACATTTAGTAGTAAGGAAGAGAAGCACCAGGATTTAAGGCAGAAATGTAGTTAACTCTACTGTTTTGTGCAAATGCATTCAAGTTTATGATCAGGACTGCCCTACATGTAAAGTTGATAACTCCTGACCATTGGAGGGAAAAGATAAACACCAGCTGCCAGTCCTCTGGCTACATAACAAGCAAGCACGGACAAGAACCCTTTACCTGGTTGGTTCCACCGATGCTTTGTCTCTGAGGTGAAAAGTACTCTGCCAGTAAGAACTTTGAAAGTTCCTTTGCTTTTGGACAATACACCTTGTCACCCAGAACTCCGTTAAGTTCAACAATGAAGGTGCTGAAGTGGTCTACTTGTTTCAAAACACAACATCTCAAATTCAGCTTCTAGATCAGGGCATCATAAAGAAACTTTAAGGCTCATTACACATGGTACTCTATGGAAAGGACTGTCAATGCTATGGAAGAGAACCTCAAAAGAGAGAACATTATTAAAGTCTGGAAGATTATACCATTGAAGAGGCTATCGTTGTTACTGACATCAGACAATCTGACAGAAGGGTTCCAATGATTCAATACTGCGTTGATTTTTTTAATCACATGGACCCTACTACAACAAAAAGAAACTAAAGAAAATGACAGGAGGATCAGTACTGTATAGAATATTATAGATATAATTACTGTGTGACTTTTTTGCTTTCTCATTTCTAGAAACATTTTGCCTCCATCTCTTTTGATTCTACCATCCCTAAGACAACAAGAGCAACTTCTCCCCTTCCTCCTCCTCAGCCTATTCAACATGAGGACAACAAAGATGAAGACGTTTATGATCCAGTTCCACCTAAAGAACAGTAAATATATCTTCTCTTCCTATGATTTTCTTAACATTTTCTTTTCTCTAGCTACCTTTAAGAATACCAAGTAAATACAGTGTATATAATATATAAAAAATATGTGTTAATTGATTATTTACATTATCAGTAAAGTTTCCAATCAAAAGTAGGCTATTAGTAGTTAAGTTTTGAGAGTCAAAGGCCATACATGGATTTTCGACTACAAAAAGGGAGGGGGTAGGAGAGTTGACACTCCTAACTCATTCCTTGTTCAAGTGTCAGCTATACTACATTACACACTTAAAAACTTGTTAGTAGGGTAGAGTTCATGTTATCTGTTTTTATTACAATAATAACTTTTTTAAAGGTAGGTTTGGGTTATGTTCAAAATGACTCTGTAAGCTACAGTATTTGGACTTGTACTATGAGACAAAATGGTCGGAAATGTGGCTGTGTGAAAGAGTATGAAGAGAAAAGAGAACTTTTGGAATTATCTTTATCTTACCCTACCTTCATCAAGCTCACTGCTGAAATCTAACTCCCTGAGATGTTAAGGATCTTCATTTCACGCCTTGTCTCTAAAATAAACATTGTCCAAAGTCCTAGGTCTAATACTAGTTTCCATAAGCAACAGAAACAGATTTAAAAAAAAGAAAAAATGCAAAACTCCCAAATCTTCAGATTCAGTCACTATAATAATAGAAAACCCTCGACCATGTACGTTAATTAATTTTTAAAATCCAAGAAAATAACAGCTAGTTTTTATGTGAAAATCTCACATTTTGGCCTTTGTAATATACATGTCTTTGTATTTTACTAAGAAACCTATATATATGTAGTCAGTAACTCTTTTAGTATTCACTAATAATTCATTCTTTTAGTATCTACATAAATTTCTGGCCTTATCATTTATTGATTCCTACCCTCACTATGACAAATTTTTAAGATATTAGAAGTTAAATAGGCACACTGGTAAACAACTGAATAATTGCAATAAGTCATGCATACAAAGTGCAAACAACTACACCAAAAGTTATTTTCTGTCAAGCAAAAGAAAATGGCTTATCTCTAATAATAACAGCTAAACTGCTATATTCTGTAACTCTCAGTCAAACAAACTGCAGCCTACTTACATAGCATTGTAAATGGAAGGTTTAGTCACTGGGCTACTGAAAATTATGCTTATTAATCAGCATTACAGGGTTGGAGGGACATTAAAAAAGTTTCATGAGGATTAAACTAAGTAATGAATAAAATTAGTCAATACTATCTCAAAGAAGTGCCATTTGTTATCCCAAGAAAAACAAGACCAAAAGGACATTAAGAATATAATTATAGATTAAGAGTCCCAACTTAAAAGTTTCTCTCTTCCTTTCTGCTTACTATCTTCAAGCCACACTGACCTGCTTTCTGTTCTGCAAGGCAAGCTTGCTCTCATTTCAGAGTTTTTATACTATTTCTTCTGCTTAGAATGTTATTTCTTAAAATTTCACAATAGTTGACTTCTTATCACTTAAGCCTCTATTAAAATAGTGTCACAAATATCACACACATTATTCCTGATCACACTATCAATAAAATGGGTACTGTTATCTTTAGGTCACTGCCTAACTCATTAACCTGGCGTAGTTTCTTCAAATCACTTACCATTAACTGTTTGTCTGCTGCTTCTACCAAAAAACATACGGTCTTTTAAAAATTCACTACTGTATTCCAAATACCTAAAATAGTACCAGGCATTTAATAATAATAGATAATCCTGTGCTACACACTGGTTTAAGTGTATTACATGTACTATTTCAGTTAACCCTTACAACAACTTAAGGTAACTTCTAACTCATATTTTATAATCAGGAAACCATCTGTAAAATAATTTTCACATAAGCAAGATGGTTAGCCTTTTATCTCTTTTCCCAAGCATATAGTACAAAACAGGAGTTGGCATCAACTTGCCAGATGGTATGTATTAGCTCCTAATAAAGTGCTCCTAATAAAGTGCCCATTATTGACTCTGAATCTTTTTCTTTACTTTAAAAAGTACTCAAATGTCATGAAATAGTTTAAAAAGTCTCATCAAATTCCATTCTAATCACAACTATTCAATCATATGATACTTTCTTTAATTACTAAAAAAGTATTCCAATTAATTGAAAAAGCATAGTTTAAAAAGTCCCACTGACTGGGTGCGGTGGTTCAAGCCTGTAATCCCAGCACTTTGGGAGGCTGAGGTGGGTAGATCACAAGGTCAGGAATTCAAGACCAGCCTCGCCAACATGGTGAAACCCCATCTCTACTAAAACCACAAAAATTAGCCAGGTGTGCTGGGAGGCGCCTGTAATCACAGCTACTGGGGAGGCTGAGGCAGGGAACTGCTTAAAGCTAGCAAGTGGAGATTGCAGTGAGCCGAGATCACACCACTGCACTCCAGCCTGAGTGAAAAAAGACTACTTCACAAAAAAAAAGGTCCTATCAAATTCCATTCAAACCACAACTCTTAAATCACACAATACTTCTCCACTGTCTATAAATTACAGAACAGGAAATATTTTAAAGAGATTACAATGAAGTCATCATATTCTCCAGATGTCATTGTATGACTAAATTGAAATATTGTTCTTCATGAACTCCTGTACTATCAAGAACTTAAATATGTATAATGGCCCAAACATGAGAGGTTTATTTTGCAAAGGACAGCAAAATCCTTCTTAATGCTATCACCTAAACCTAAAACTACTGAGATTTAAGAATTATAAAAATGTAGTTTAAGAAAAAAATCGCAGAAACACTAATTTTAACTTGAGAGGAACTCTTTATATACATATAAAATTCTGCATAGGCCAAATGGTTTCTTCAAATGGACTACTTGATTATTTGAGAACAATTAACGGGGAAAATAAGTTTCAGTTTCCATGAGATTCTTACCTGTATAATGCATCATCGATCTCCACAGATGCTGTTGACATAATGGGCAAATTTTTATTTGTGCTGGAAAAAAAAAACATGGTTATCAAATATTCACATTTTATAATGTAATATTTGATTATTTGTGGGATCAGATTCACCAGTTACTAAAAGTTTTCACAAATCAAACATGTATTTTATTATCTACCACTTTACTTATATATTTTTAAATGGCCTGAATTTAAATTCTGATCACTTGTTCTATCCTGTGTGGATTTTAAGATTACAGAGCTCATCATCTTTTATTCTCAGATGTCAGGTCTGTTTTATCAATGGTACACACACACACACACACACACACACACACACACATTTTGTTTTCTTTTTTGAGATGGAGTCTCATTCTGTCACTCAGACTGGAGTGCAGTGGCGTCATCTCGGCTTACTGCAACCTCCAAGCTCCCGGGTTTAAGCGACTCTTTGCCTCAGCCTCCTGAGTAGGTGGGACTACAAGAGCACACAAAGTCCAACTAATTTTGTAATTTTAGTAGACACAGGGTTTCACCATGTTGTCCAGGCTGGTCTCCAACTCCTGACCTCAAGTGATCCACCTGCCTCAGCCTCCCAAAGTGCTGGGATTATAGGTGTGAGCCACTGTGCCTAGCCATTTGGTACATACATTCTAATAGATGTGTATCTCAGCTCTCCCTGGATAAACTCATTCAATCCTGTGGATAAGTGTATATTGATTATATTTAAACTTATTTCTCCACATATGACTGATCTTTCCTCTGACCTCCAGATTGTATACAATTGCCAAAACAATGAACTCTTCTGATGTCTTAACTGGTATCACAAACATAACAAATTCCAAAGAGAATTCAATTACCCCTGCTTCGTCCATTCTTCCCATCTTTCTTAACTCATTTTCCGGTACCATCATTTATTCAGTTGGGCCTGAAATTTAGGGATCTTCTTGCTTGAATAATTCCCCTACTTTCTCCATCTAAGTCCTGTTAGGTCTGCCTTCAAAAGAGATCTCAAATCTGATCACTTCTTCCTACTTCAATCCGTACAATCTGAAGCCAACCATCATCACATTTCACCTGAGCTATTTCAAAGCCCTCCTAACTAGTCTCCTTATTTCCACTATTGTCCTTCCCCTTTGTTCTCCATAAAACAGTCTAAATATCTTAAAATGCAGTCAGAAATTATCCCCCAACTTTGGAGTACCCTTCAGTGGATTTCCTTTACTTTATTTATTTATTTTTTTTGTCACCCGAGCTGGACTGCAATGGTGTGATCTTGGCTTACTGCAACCTCTGCCTCCCAAGTTCAATCAATTCTCCTGTCTCAGCCTCCTGAGTAGGTGGGATTACAAGCATGTGCTACCACGCCCAGCTAGTTTTTTTTTTTTTGTATTTTTAGCAGAGATGGGGGGTTCGACACCTCACCACGCTTGAAAGGGGCAATATGTCCTGTCTCCCAATTACCTCTCCAATTTCAACTCCCACCACTCTCCCTTTCTGCTTATTATTGTCAAGCCACACTGACCTGCTTGCTTGTTCTGCAAGAAGCCAAGATTGCTCTCATTTCAGAGTTTTTACACTATTTCTTCTACTTGGAATGTTCTTTCTTAAAATCTCAGAATAGCTGACTTATCACCTAAGCCTTTATTAAAATAGTGTAACAAATATCAATCACGTACATCATTCCTGATCACGCTATCAATAAAATGGCTACTCTTATCCTTAGGTTATTGTCTAACTCATTAACCTGTCATAGTTTCCTCAAGTCACTTACCATTAACTGTCTGCCACTCTTACCAGTACCAGAAAATGTACGGTCTGTTAAAAGCTCACCACTCTATTCCAAATACATAAATAATACCAGGCATTTAATAATGATAGATAACCCTGTGCTACACACTGTTTTAAGTGCTTTAGATGTACTAATTCAGGTAACCCTTACAATAACAACCTTGTCCAAACAGTGGGCAGGCACTATTGCTATCTCCAATGAACAGATGGCAAAAAAGAGGCTGAGAGAGGTTCACTTAAAATTTGCCCAAAATCACAGAGCAGGCAAATGGCACTGCCAGGATCTGAATCCAGGCAGTCTAGCTCTTGACTACCACACATGCTGCCTACTGCCTCTGATAGTAGACATTAAAAAAAGCACTTTAAAAAAACCTGTTAAATGGGCCAGGTGCGGTGGCTCACGCCTGTAATCCCAGCACTTTGGGAGGCCGAAGCGGGTGACTACCTAAGGTCAGGAGTTTGAGACCAACCTGGCCAACATGGTAAAACCCTGTCTCTACTAAAAACACAAAAAATTAGCCAGAAGTGCTGGCAGGTGCCTGTAATCCCAGCTACTCTGGAGGCTGAGGCGGGAGAATTACTTGAACCTAGGAGGTGGAAGTTGCAGTGAGCCAGGATCACACCACTGCATACCTGTCTGGGCAAAAAGAACAAGACTCCGCCTCAGAAAACAAAAAAAAAAAAGCAAAAAAACCCCAAAAAACTGTTAAATGAATATATTTTAAAAGAAAAAAATAATCTAAATATAACAAACCTGACAAAGTATACTTATTATAGTAACATTTACAGCAGTGCTGGTCTCAATTATTTCACAGCATGGCCTTCAAAAGGTTATCAGTAGGAAACACAGGGAAGCAGAGATAATTCCCAGGTATGGCCAACCAGTCTGGGGCATTTGGAGCTGAAGCACTGTGAGAGCTGAGATCAATATACTGGCAGAAGTGCAGGCCATTCCTAGTTCTGAGAAGCTCTTATTGTCAATTAAAGGATTCTAAATGAAATTCAGATTTGGAATCCAACTTTCTAGTCCTAGCATTAATAAATAAGCCAAGAATTTGTAAACAAAGGTAATTAAAACGTTATCATTTAACTCACCAAACACTGACACGTATCAAATGATATCAGCTTTTAGCTAATTAAACGAATAGCTAGTACAAAAATTGATTGCAATTACCAAGGCAAATCAGAAGATAGCTGTGTTCTAAAAGATCAGCTATCTAATAAAAAACACACACATACACGCATACACATTTTGGGCATTGTAACAAAATATAAAAATAAACAAAATTGGTTTCTTTTTTTTTGAGACAGGATATCTGTCACTCCGACTAGTGGAACGATCTCGGCTCACTGCAGCCTCGACCTCTCCAGACTCAAGCGATATGCCCATCTTAGCCTCCGAGTAGCTGGGACTACAGGCACGCACCAACACATCCAGATAATTTTTTTATATTTTGTGGAGATGAGGTTTCGCCATGCTGCCCAGGCTAGTCTAGAACTCCTGAGCTCAAGCGATCCGGCCGCTTCAGCTTCCCAATGCGCTGGGATTGCAGGCGTCAGTAACTGAGCCCGGCCAACAAAATTTGTTATTATCTACTTTCCTATCATCTTACCCTACTACACTTTCACTTGCTGTTTTCCTTGCTTGGGGAAGGGGGGCAATAGGCCTGTGAGTAAATCTGAATAAAAACGAGAAGAGCTACATTGTAATTAGCTCTGCCACTTAATGGCATGACTGGCACTTTTCAGAAAGTTGTGCCTCACTGGAATATTTCAAGAATATGTAAAAATAACATGATCTATAAGACAATCAAAACGTTTCAAATAAGACGCGGGTTATATTACATAATATACCACAAGTCTGGCAGTGTTGGCAATGGCAGACAATACCATGAAACTGAAAGCATCCCTGCAGTCTGAAACTGGCGAAAAAGCTACAGGTTTACAAAGTCTCACATCAGCTGAAAATAATACATCCATCATTTCTATCTTGGCATGGTGTATTCTGACAGTGGTGGACAGGATATCATTACTTGCTTTATTAATTATGAGATGACTTACAGAGGAATTACTAACCAAGAATCTGGTAAAGGCCTGGCACATTTTCCCCTAATTTTACAGGGGCGGGAAAGACCCAAAGAATTTCAAAACCAAGTGGGAAATAAGAATGGGTAACTTGTATATTTTTTTCCTGGCCTCTTTTTTTCTTCCGTAGTCAACAGAGGCCTCGGGGTGTCCAGATTGCTACTGATTCGTTCTTACTAAGTTCCTTCTGGTAATAGTTTTCAAAAGAGGATCTCAGTGGAGGTACACAGAGGCGCTCCCAGCTTTCTTTTTACGGAAAGGAGGAAAGGTGCTTGGCACCAGTCGGGGAAGCTCACGCCAAGTGACCGGGACCAGAACTCGCTCTCAGCAGGAGCCCCGCAAGTCTGGTGAATGGGAGGAAGAAGGATCCTGAATCCCAGCCAGAACTGAGAAAGCGCACCTGTGAGGTGCGGGAAGGGGACTTTCTCCTCTGGAAAGCCGGGAACAGCGGAGGCCCTAGCTCACGTCGCCACACCCACTCCGCGCGCGCCCCTCACCTCCCCAAGCCGGCTCTGCTCGGCCTCGCGGCCTCTCGGGCGCCCCCGGCCCGCCGGAGAGAAAGAAGCAGAAACCCTGAGCTTGGGTCCCACCTGCGAACCCTCACCTTCGCCCGCCTCGTCCTCTCACCTGCCAGTCCCCCAGGAAGAGCAGGTCGCCTCTTCCCTAGGAGAGGCGGCCACCGTCTCGGATCTTTCCATAGTCGCCTGAGACTCCGCCGCCGGCTACCAGGAGGTAGGAAAGGGGGCGGGACCGCGGGGGTCAAGGGGCGGGCAGAGACGTCATCAGAGAGGGCGGGCCTGGGGAAGCAAGGATCCCGGCAGCACTTTCCCGTCAACCCTTGGGGCGTCCTGATTTCCGGTTTGGGTGTGGCCGCATGATGTGCTGTGGTGGAGGTGGCCGAAGTGGGCGTTACTGTTGGGACTGGCATCCGGCAGATGAAGATGGAACCGAAGTCCAGAAGTTAGTCGTCACCCTTGCTCTGCAGCCAAACAAGCAAGGCTTTAGTAACTCGCGAAATGATGGGATTGCGTTGCAAATCCTTAAAAGAGTCTTACAGTAAGAAGAGGAAACAGCTTCATTTGATAAATAAACTGAAGGCTAGTAATAGCTCCAGATTGTCAGTGAGGGACACCACTTCAAGATATTATGTATTTAATAGATGATTTGAGGGACGGGCGCGGTGGCGCACGCCTGTAATCCCAACACTTTGGGAGGGAGGCCGAATCACCTGAGGTCGGGAGTTCGAGACCATCCTGACCAGCATGGAGAAACCCTGTCTCTACTAAAAAAAAAAGTACAAAATTAGTTGGGCGTGGTGCATGCCTACAATCACAGCTACTCGGTAGGCTGAGGCAGGAGAATCGCTTGAACCTGGGAGGCAGAGGTTGCAGTGAGCCAAGATCACATCATTGCACTCCAACCTGGGCAAAAAGACCAAAACGCCATCTCAAAAAAAAAAGTAATAATAATTTTGGGAGTCCACTACGTTTGAGGCACTGCCTCAGATTTAATAGAATCATGTGATTTTTAGTGCCATAAATGACATTAGGTCATTCCAGTTTGGTCCCTTCAATTTGTTGGTAAGAGAAAGGAACTTCCGGTCAGTGCAAGTGTCTTGGTCAAGGTCATAGAGCTAATCACTGTTAGATTACCAGAACATATCTAAGGAGTTCTCATATAATTCTTTCCATTTACTTCCGTGTCACCTTTCTTAGAAAGCAACAATTAGTTGGACACAATAACATTAGGATTTGTCTTTCACTTTAAATAACAGTATATATTTGAATAAACATCTGCAGGATTTTTAAAGGTAGCCTATACTTTGACTTTGGGTATTATATAATTTTCTGTGATGTATCATATTTTTAATTAGAAATTTTTCCTCTCTTATGTGGAGATGAGGGTCCAGGCAAAACTGTATTATCCTTTGTGCTCCTCTATTCTCTTCAAAATTGCACATCTTAAAATACCTGGAAGCTTAATGTTACTCACCTGTAGCATTGTCCATGTTCTCAATCCGGCTGTGAACCTTTCCCACATTAAAATGTACTTGATCTATGCTCTATTCTTTCAAGGTTCTGCTCCAGCACTAAGTTTATTCCCTGTCTTTTCTCTTTATTTTAAAATTAATACATATAAATATCTTTCGCTATCCCACCCTACAGATATTGTCAGTTTCTTTGTTTCTCTCCCTCTGATTTCCCTTCTGTATTTATTTTTTTCCTAAATATTTGTTGAATGCCTATTAAACATTAGAACTTAATGGCTAAACAATAAGTAGACAATAGTGATAACATTGATCACCAATTTTATCCAGTTCATTGTGAGAAGACAAAATTAGAAAGTAAATGAAAAATTAATTTAAGAAAGTGACTTTTCTATGAAATAGAATGAGTGTTCCAATGAGCTGAACAGAGAAGGTTGGCTTTAAAGGCAGAAAAGGACTGAAGAAAGCGAAACAGAACAAAAAGCAGATTATTTCAAAGTTGCTTTCCTTGTAAAGGTTAAAACAGTATGCTTTCTTTTTTTTTTTTCCTGTGATTTTTTTTATTGCATTTTAGGTTTGGGGGTACATGTGAAGAACATGCAAGATTGTTTTCTTATTATGCCCACTAGTTTAACTAGAATCTCCTGGTTTTTTGTTTTGTTTTGTTTTAAAAACTGGCTCATTTTTCCAAAGTATACTTTAATAGTATGGTGCTTAGCACAAGCAACTCCATTCTGGTTTAATCTAATGGGGCCTAGTATAGAAGGCTAGTCCAAAACAATGGCCTGCCATTACCCACACTTCTTTATATTATAACATCCATGAATAGAGGATGCATTTAAAAAAATAAATAAATACAGAAAACAATGTGCATCTTAAAATTGAGCGCATGTCAGATTTGACAATATGTGGTGTGAATTATTTCAGGCAGGTAACAAGGAACCAGATTTAACAGATTTTAATGTTTTGTCACATTTGTAAAATGAGAAAGTAAACTAGGCTATCACAACTTTTTGACAGTGAGGATTTCCATCATAAGAAAGTAGGACATACTGAGGATATTTAAGGGGAAAAAGTATAGGCCAAGGGTTTTACATCTAGCAAAACTAACTCATATACAAAAGGTACAAACTGTTATGAACAATTGATAAATCAACATTTGATGAGACTAGCATTTTCATGAGCCGCTCCTGAATAATTAATTAGAGTAAGAGTGTCTGACAATCAGAATTACTACAGAAACCTTGACCTAAGATTTGGCTCGGGTTCTTAACAGCCAAATTATAATCTGTTGCATTTATTAGCTTTTGTGTTTCTTCTAGTTTATTACTAATTCTCCTGAGTTCTGTTACCTCATTTCTGAGGTTTTCTAATTCAGAATCGAGTTGTTCTTCCGTATCTTGTACTATTTTTTAATGTCATTTAGCTAGTTTCAATATAAGAAATTACTTCGTAGTACAACTTTCAGCTATGTTTTTATTATGTTATTATGATATTTTTTATTCTCTTTTTTCATATAACTGCATGGGATTTGAACTTGATGCTTTTTTGTTGCTCATTTTTATGTGAAATTCATGTTCCTGAACTAATATGAGACAGGCTTCGTAGCCCAATAAGCCTAAGTTTATCAGGAACAAAACTGTATTCTAAGAGAGTCCGGTATAGTAGTCTGTTTTCACACTGCTATAAAGAAATACCCAAGACTGGGTAATTTATAAAGGAAAGAGATTTAGTTGAGCCACAGTTTTGCATGGCTGGGGAGTCTTCAGGAGACTTACAATCATGGAAAAAGGTGAAGGAGAAGCAAGACATGTTTTACATGGTGGCAGGAGAGAAGTGAGAGTGCAGGAAAAACTGCCACTTTTAAAACCACCACATCTCATGAGAACCCCTTATTATCATAAGGGGAACTGCCTTCATGATCCAATCACCTCCCACCAGGTCTCTTCCTGGACACATGGGAATTACAATTCTAGGTGGGATTTGGTTGGGGACACAAAGCCAAACCATATCATCAGATTTATTGGCTCATTGCAAGGAGGGACTGCACATTCCAGAAGATCTATGGGATACCTCACCAAACAGAGGAAGACACAGATTTACTGTAGGAATTTGGGAAAGTATTCGGTTTGGAAGGAATTAAAATGAAGTAGTGCTTTGATAGACTCAAAACTAAGCAAGCTGTATATAAAGAAGTCTGTACCACATGTAAACTATTACTAATGGCAAAAACTGCAATTACTTTTGCATCAACCTAATATAAGATGGACCTTGGAAATTGTAAAGTTCTGCCTCTCAGAAATAGAAGCTATTTTTCTGTATCAATGTGACTTAGATATTCTAGCCAAGAGTGAGATATTTCAATCTTAGTAATAGAATTTAAACAGCAGAGTTTTTGATGATCTTTTGCTATTGTCGTAAATTCTCTATGATTTTTAGAGAAAAAGCCTTTTCTTGAGTAAAAAAACCAGTAGTGTGTGTGTGTGTGTGTGTGTGTGTGTGTGTGATTTTAAAGCATCTTCCTGAGAGAAATACTATCTTCTGTTAATTTCACAGCTGGCTTTATTTATGCCTGCTATCTTATACCTGATGAATAGCAAAACAGATTTTTCTTTCTTATTCCATGCTTATTTGCTTTCTCACAGGTTTAGGGGAAACTTCTCTAATTTTAGAAAGTTCCATCTTCTGTTGCTTTTATGTAATGTTCAAGAATATTATGGTTTGATTTCTTTTTTAAATTGACACATACATAGTAGTCACATGTTTATGGGGTATTTTGATACTTACATACAATGTATAATGATAAAATCGGGTAATTAAGATAGCCATCACCTCAAACACTGATCGTTTCTTTGTGTTAGGAACATTTCATATCTTTCCTTCTAGCTATTTTTAAATATACAGCAAATTATTGTTAACTATAGTCACCCTCTAGTGCTATCGAACACTAGAAATTGTTTTTTCTATCTAATTGTATTTTTGTACCCATTACCCAACCTTTTTTCATTGTCCTTACCCCTAGGATTTCCAGCCTCTAATAACCATCATTCTACTCTAATTATACTGCCATGAGATGCACATTTTTAGCTCTCACTTATGAGTGAGAATATGTGCTATTTGTCTTTCTATGCTTGGCATTTCACTTCACATAATGACCTGCAGTTCGTCCACATTCCTGCAAACAACAGGATTTCATGTTTTATAGCTGAATGTATAGATAGCACATTTTAAAAAACCCATTCATCTGTTGATGGACACTTAGGTTGATTCCATATCTTGGCTATTGTGAATAGTACTGTAATAATAAGCATGCAGATGCCTTTTAAATTTATTGATTTACTTTTTTGGATATACTCAGAAATGGGATTGTTGGATCATGTGGTGGATCTATTTTAAATTTTCCAAGAAACTTCCATACTGTTTTTCATAGTTTCTGTACTAATTTATGTTCCCACTAGCATTGTACTAGTGTTTTCCTTTTGCTACATCCTTACCAACATCTGTTATTTTCTGTCTTTTTAGTAATAGTAGTCTTAACTGAGGTGAGATGATATTTTATTGTGGTTTTGATTTATATTTCCCTGGTGATTGGTGATGTTGAGCATTTTTCATATGTCTGTTGGCCATTTGTATGTCTTCTTTTGATAAATGCCTATTTAGATCATTTGTCCATTTTTAAATTGGATTACTTGGGTTTTATTTTTGCTATTGTTTGAGTTTCTTATATATTCTGATTATCATTAACCTCTTGTTGGATGAGTAGTTTTCAAATATTTTCTTCCATTCTGTGGGTCATCT